GGTATGTTGTTCAGGGGGAGTTTGGGAAGGTGTGTTGATTAAAGAAGGCTATCTATGGGCTTAAGTAGTCACCACAGGCATGGTTTGGTCATTTTAGTAGTGTGGTGCAAGATTTTGGCTTAAAACAATGCAGTGTTGATCATTCTATGTTTAGCAGGGACTTTTTATCTAGAAAAATCATTCTAGCAGTGTATGTTGATGATATTGTTCTCACTGGTAATGATACACATGGAACTAATGAGTTGAAATAGTTCCTACAACAACACTTTCAAACTAAAGATCTAGCAACCCTGAAGTACTTTCTTTGTCCCAACAAAAGTATGTTTTGGATATGTTGGATGAAATTGAGTTATTGGGATCCAAACCAGTTGAAACTCCTATGGATCCCAATACGAAAATGACTAATAGTCAGGGGGAGCCGTTAGAAGACTCTGCAATGTATTGGAGACTAGTAGGCAAGTTGATCTATCTTACCATCACTAGGCCTGACATCTCCTTCAATGTTGGAGTCCTCAGTCAATTCATGCAGAATCCAACAATTGCTCATTTTGATGGTGTTATGAGGGTGTTGAAGTATCTAAAGGGTGCTCTTGGTCGAGGGCTTTTGTCTCTGGTAGGGTATTCAGATGCAGATTGGGCACGGTCTCCAATGGATAGGAAGACTACTATAGGTTATTGTACCTTCTTGTGTGAAGATCTTGTTATCTAAAGAGCAAGAAGCATAGTGTGGCTGCTAGGAGTAGTGCTGAAGCTGAATTCAGGGCAATGGCCCATGCTACCTGTGAGCTAGTTTGGTTGAAGCATATTCTTTAGGAAATGAATATCACAATTTTCCAACCCATTAAATTGTTTTATGACAATCAAACTGCAATACATATTGCCTTCAATCTAGTGTTTCATGAAAGGACTAAACACGATTGCAATTTTGTAAGAGACAATGTAACAAGTGGAGATATTGTTACTTCCTATGTTAAATCTAAAGACCAAGTAGCTGATATCTTTACTAAAAGTGTGGGTCGCTCAAGGATGGATTATATTTGTAACAAACTAGAACTCTATGATATATATTCTCCAACTTGAGGGGGAGTGTTAGAATTGTTAGAAGTAGTGCTAGTAGTCAACTACTTCATGCAGAGATTTCTTAGTAGTCAACTACTAACAGTATACTGTTCTTAGTAGTCGACTAGACAAAGAGATTTCCTATTTGTCGACCACTAGGGCACTTGTAATTTTTCTCTTTTATTTTGTCACTCTAATACAAATAGTGATGCTGGCGCCGCCAGCCTATCTTTTTGACTCCAAATCTTTCTCTCCTCTCTTCTCTCTTCTATTCAGCAACATTTCTACCAAGAAAGCAGTATACAATGTTAACATTTGAAAAAAAAAACTATAATATCTTAATAGATTATGTTTTTCTATGGCCATGCCCTCAAGTCTTTGTTTTATATCTTATTGAGACACTCCTGAACATGCATCACTTAGAGAAAGTTATGGTTTTACATGTGGTTTAGCATCATCAAGTTTTGCTTGAGAAAGTAAGTAAAAAGAGGCAACTATATAATTCTGGTCCAGGCAATCGAGGGTCTTGGGAGGGGTGGACTACATTGGACCTAACCTCTGGGACCCTTTTTTTCTTTTTCTTTCTTTTTCTTTTTTTTTTTTATATAAATGGTGTATTGTATTGCCGAACCATAAGGTAAGACTCCTCACAAAACATATGGACCTAACCTCTGGAACTCTTTTAGCATGAAATGGCCACTTCTGAGAGAACAAAACTTCAACATAATGGGCTACATTCTGATGGAGGGGCCTTAGCATGATGAAACTTTAAAATAATTTCATTTGTAGGAGTCAATTTCATAATTTGTAAAGATTTTTAGCTATAGAAAGAAAATGTAATATATCATGAGTTGGAAGAGTAGCAATTAGATTGTTCTTTTTTTCTAATCTTTTTTTTTTTTTTAATGAAAGATGATTGGGGTCAATTTGGAGGAACATATGTGATGGATACGAAAACATGAATAATTTCAGTTTATCACTTGATTAGGGGGCCATTATATGCTGTCTTCTAAAAGTAAATCATTCAGATGTCTTGCTTTATGACCAACTTTGATTGTCAGGGAGAGAGGTGGAGCAGCAAAAATTGCAAGCCTCTGGAGAGCAAGTTCACCCTGGTTGATGATAGTCAAACATAATGGTTGCAGCTCAAGGTGTGTTGCCAGCAAGGATCAAAATATCGATACACACCAAGACCAAAAATTGGGTATCAGTGCATATTGATAGACCAATACTCTTTTTTTATAACTTTTTTTTGGTCAGCCTGAGAGGGATGCCTTCTATCAGTGTGCGTATTGTATTGATATTTTGATCCTTTGTTCCCAGGCTGATTAAAAACTTGGCATAGAGCTTATTGATTGGCTGGAGATGACTGTTGATGTTTTGGCTTAGTAGTACCGATTGTTCCTTTGCTGTAACCATGACCAAGCTTTTTTAATTGATTCTGTATTTGGCAATTGTTACATGCACAATTAGAATTATTGGAGTAGGACAAGCTTTTGGCAAAACCGTTAGATGAAGCATTTGAATTGCAACTGAGAGATTTTGATTCTTGAGACAAGTCATGGTTAAGAAGAATGCCATGGAGTACTGTAGTATCTATTGGTGAATTGCAGAAAAAAAATCATGTACTGGAAGGAGTACTCCTATAAGTAGAGAACTAGTTAGAAGTTGATAAAAAGACAGCCCAGTGCACGAGGTTCCTGCCAATGCAGGATCTGGGGTGGGACAATATCCAGATTACCAGCAATAAGTTTCACCTATTGGAAAGACCAAAAACAGTGATGTGGGGCAGAGAGAGGAAAGAATGATCCTTCTTCTCTTCCTATGTCTGCATCATTTACTTGTTGGATGGGGAATTGGCAATGAACTTCTTCAATGTAAGAGCCTAGGAAGTTGTCTCTTTCCTTTGGTTTGGCAGGGCTGGGATTGGTGGCTTCAAGTGGAATGGCTGATATGTTTCAAGAATGGAAGTCAGTTCCATTAATTAGAGGACAGTTCGTTGGAAAGCTGTTATTCATGCTGTTAAGCCTGTTATGAATGAGCAGGGTGTCAGCAATGAAGCACTTCTGATTGGAAGTGCTATGGGAACATGTCTTCTTGCTAGTTGACTCTTGGGCATTGACTCCTAGGTTGTTCCAAGGGATTTCTTTCAATGTTCTATCATCATTATCACCCAAGCCTTATCCTAACTATATGGGATCTTCTTGCAATGTTCTATGAAAGGGATATTTTGGAAATTGTTTAATCATCCTCCTCATATTCCACACACCTTAGCTTTGCCCTGACCAAATCCAACAACGGAGGAGTAGCATTTTAATGGCAGCTCCTTGGCTATCCCAGGCTTCATAACATTGATGAGCTGTCATCAGTTCAGCATCAGTCTACCAACTTGGGTGGAAACTACAGCCATACAAGTGAGCAAATGGGGGACATGGATTCCACCAGGGCAGAGACGACTTCCCTTCGCACAGGCTCATGGATTGTTTTGAGATTGCAATCCTCTTCTTTGACTGTTGAAGGAAATTTTGGACAATGTCATAGTTGGAGTAAAGCATTAAGTAATGAAAAGTAACTTTTATCTGTAGTTATCTAAGGTTGGAATTAATCTAAATATATATAAAGATTGGTTTAATATAATATTAAAAAATTGATATGGACTATTTTAATAGTTCATACTTATATAGAGATGTTTTCTGTAAGTTTTCCGATCTTGCCAACTTAGATTCTCAGACACATTGGATTCTGATTCCTGTGTCCATGTTCATGAAAAACTATTTTTTATCGGTAACTGGTCAATGTATTTATTAATTAAAAGAATATTATTATAAAATGTGCTCAGCACACCTAAATGAGGGCTAGAATTGCTACCCATCCCTGCATTACCACTTTCTTTTTTTATAATTACAACATGAAATCACCCCAATATTGGTTATACTTGCCTCTTTTCTTGCCAACACATCTTCCATGCCATTGGCTGATGCGTGTTCATGTAAAGCTTGCCATTATCTCCTCTGCCAACCAGAGAGGTTGTTGGTCCTTGTGCAGTATCTTATTGAGTGGGGCTTTGTATATGTTATGATCATATTAATATATTATTTTATCTACTCTCAAAAAAAAAAAAACTATTTTACTTCCCTTATTGCATTCCTGTGTAACCATGGGAACTACTTTTACCTATCCACCTGCCAGATCTACCACTTGTGTTTGTTTTGACAAGGGTTGGCTTGAGCTGAACCTGACTGAATCTGTTTTTTTTTTTTTTTTTTTCTGGTATTTGAACCTGACTGTATCTGATCTATATGTCATGTTGGACAATCCACCCTTAACATGACAATATATGTTGCATAACTTATTTAGTTAACTATTTTTCATAGAATATCATGAACTTGTGATAGTGTAGAGGTTGGTTAGTTGCATATACATTAAGTTCTCATTTGAGAAATAGTAAGCTCAACTTTATGCCATTTTAGCTTATCAAATATCATAGCTTCTAATCCTTTATCAACTTGTCAAACAGGACACTCATTGTGGGTTGGATATTGGGTATTATTGAACTTTGGTTTGCCCAGCTGTAACCTGATCCATCCCACCCAAGTTTAACCTATTTTTTTTTTTGACAATTAAAAAAAAAATCTCAAAGGAAAAGTGGAGGGAACAGGGAATAAATTGTATGTATTGAACTAGATCAGGTTCTAACTTGGAGCATCTTCTATTAGGGGGTTAAGTGTTAAGACATCCAAACTCCAGCAAATGTGATCAGGTTACCATAAGGTAGAATACAATTTTGCTTTATGGCTATTTCGTATGCCCTCGTCATTTCTCAACCTAGAATTCATTTATATAATACATTAATGCTAGGCTTCTCCACTAATTGCTTGTTGCAGTTGTGAAAATTTTCTTTATTCTTTCTGATTGTCATTTTTTTATTTAATTCGTTCCAGAGACAGCATTAAAGCTTGATACTTTGGTTGGTGACATTGAAGATGCTGTTTCCTCTACCATGACTGGACATTTGAGAAAGATTCACTCTTTGGAAAATTTAGAAGTAAGCAACCTATAATTCAATGGAACAGCTGACGTTACAAATGACACCTTATTTGATTCCAATGTCTCAATCATTATGCAGGAAACACGTCTTATGGCCATTAAATCGCTCAAACTAGCAGAGGATGTCTTAACTTCTGTTACAAAAGCACGGCCTCAGTGGACACATCTTGTTTCAGCTGTTGATAACAGGGTTGATCGAGCTTTGGCAATTTTAAGACCCCAGGCAATTGCAGATTACCGTGCCCTTCTTGCTTCCCTAGGATGGCCACCACCTCTTTCCAATTTGAATTACTCGAATGCAAATGCAGGGAAATCTCCTGATATCCTAAATCCTCTTTTCACAATGCAAGGGGACCTGAAAAAACAATACTGCAAAAATTTTCTTGCTTTATGCAGTCTCCAGGAGTTGCAAAGACAGAGAAAATCTCGGCAACTCGAGGGGCATAACCGAGAAGTTGCTCTACGCCAACCACTTTGGGTAATTGAGGAGCTTGTGACCCCTATTTCATTGGCATCCCAACATCATTTGTTGAAGTGGGTTGAGAAGCCAGAATTCATTTTTGCTCTTGCATATAAGGTAATCCGGGATTATGTTGACTCCATGGATGAATTATTGCAACCGTTAGTTGACAAAGCCAGGCTTGTGGGTTATAGTTGCAGAGAAGAATGGATTTCTGCAATGGTAACCTCCCTAACAACATTCTTGGAAAAAGAAATCTTTCCTATTTATGTTGGACGCCTGGAGGACAATGTCTCTGATCTTTCATCACACGCTAGACTCTCATGGCTGCATCTGGTTGATTTGATGATTGCTTTTGATAAACGAGTTCATTCTCTGGTCACACATTCAGGAGTCCTGCTTCCCAATGGGGAATATGATAACTTACAGAGGATCTCTTCCATGTCTGTCTTCTGTGATCGGCCTGACTGGCTTGAGTTATGGGCAGAGATAGAGCTGGGTGACATGCTTGATAAGTTAAAGCCTGAGATGGAGGATGAGAGAAGGTGGACAATGAAAGTTCAGGGAGAAGTTCTGCGAGGATCTGAAGATTACAAATCTCCCGCAGTTACTGTTGTTGTTATCCGGCACTTGTCAGCCATGGTGGATCGTTGCCGGCCATTAGCAAGAATTTCATTAAGAGCAAGGTTTATCCAATTAGCCGGGTTGCCTATAATACATGAATTTTTTGATGTATTACTTCGAAGATGCCAAGAAGCAGATGCGCTGACTGCTCTAGTAGATGATGATGCCCTTATCAAGGTAATACATTCCATCAATGCAGCTCGGTACTGTGAGTCTGTTTTGAAGGAATGGTGTGAAGATGTGTTCTTTCTTGAAATGGCACTCAACCATGGCGATCAAGTTATAGAGGAAGTTGATTCAGCAAGTTCAGTGGCAGGGACTGCTGAAGGACCTGGGAATGGTATTTTTGAGGAGGTAATCAAGAAGTTGGAGGAGTTCATATCAGAGTGGGTTGAGAAGATATCAATAGTTGTTTTAAGAGGATTTGATGTTCAGTTACGCGATTATGTCAAGAACAGGAAGCAGTGGCAAGAGAAGGGGGAAGAAAGTTGGAGTGTTTCCAAGTCATTTGTGGGGGCTATGGATTATCTGCAAGGGAAAATTTCAAAACTGCAGGAGGGTTTGAATGAGATTGATTTTATTGGTATATGGAGAAGTTTGGCTGCTGGGGTGGACCGGTTAGTTTTCATTGGTGTTTTGATGAGCAATGTGAAATTTTATAATGGGGGAGTTGAGAGATTTGGGAGTGATTTGGAGGTTTTGTTTGGGGTATTTGGAGCTTGGTGTTTGAGGCCTGAAAGCTTTTTCCCCAAGATCAATGACGGTTTGAAGCTGTTGAGAATGGGGGCTAAACAGCTGGAGGAACTGGAGGTAGGGAAAGGGAGATGGTTGAAGGAGAGTGGATTGAGGCATTTGAGTGTAACGGAAGCAGAAAAGATTGCAAAGAACAGGGTCTTCACAGGTTGAAGACTTGATCGAATTTCCTTTCCCTTTTTGTTTTCTAATTTCATAATTCACCCAAGGAAAAAAGGTATCATAACAGTGAAGTCTTGTAGATGGCTATGGAGGTCTTAAACTGACCCATTTTTCCCCTCAAAAGATGTAATAATGAAGAATATTCTTTGGAAGTAGTTCAAGGATTAATCTGTATAAGCGTGCTTGTACTAATAAACAATCCCACCGTCGGACGGACCTTCATGTCGGTCCACTTTCCCAAGTCTCAAACGTCTGTATTTCTACTCCAAACACTGGGTTGATTTATAGTAGTGGTGGGTAGCAGTAGCAATGTAGCATCTTGGTGGATTTAGATCTCGATAAAGAAACCATCAGATAATCAGGGACTCGGGTAGCGGCCAGAGTTTCAAATTTAACCAAATAGGATGGTGGTATTTGTGACCGAAGTAATTACCAATAAAAAAAACAGGTAAAAAAAGGTGACCAAAAAAAGGATTCAAAAGTTTAAAAATCTCTCTCTGACCGACAGATTCAGTGGACCCTTACGTGCACGTTGACTCCTTTGAAGAAGAAGAAAAAAGAGCTTACCACCAGCAAACCTGGAGATTTATCCGATGATCAGCAGACATCATCGCAGCCGGAAAAACTTCAGTATGGTTTTGACGATTCCACGCTCACGGCTTCGTTAGAACCAGATAAGCGGGAATTCACTAGCCAGCCAAAACGCTGGCCCTTCAGCAGCAGCTACTTCTTTTGAGAGGCAGCGTTGGAATGGCGATATCGCCGTCGTCTGTTCCTGGCACTAGCTCTCAGGGCGGCGAGTCTTTTTTCGTTTTCTTAATTTTTTTTTCTTTATTTGAATCCGTAGAACGGAGAAGCTTCAGTTCAAGGGTTGTACAACGGGTTCGTCGGATCTCTGTCTCGCAGCTCAAACAGTGAGAAGACCACCGGTGATTTTCCTGCGCAAACAACATTGAGAAGACCAGCAGCGACGTTCAAAACAGAGGCAACCCTGTTTTGACCACCGGTGCTAAAAGAAGAAAACGGCAGTGAGAAGGCGGTGCAGGAAGAGCACCGGCGACGTTCAAATCGTTATATTTGCCTCTGTATTCCATATTTTAAAAGTTTTTTTGTGTACATTAGACCAGACAATCAGACAAAAAGCTAAAAGAAGAAAACGACGGTGGTCTTCTCACCGTTGAGACCACCGGCAACGTTCAAATCTTCTTCCCACTGTCATTTTTTGCTGCTGATTGATTCCTAACCATCTGATGTCGTTTGCGCAAGAAAATCGCTGGTGGTCTTCTCACTGGCCAGGGTAAGGCTCGGATATGAGAGAATGGGAGGAGAGAGGTTTTCCATTTTTTGTTTTAGCGTCCGGTTCAACCGGACGATAGAAGTTAACATTAAATGCTCGTTAAGTTAAGGTTGGTTCAAAGGAGCCGACGTGCACGCCTCCTATTGGAGGGTTCACGCGCCCCATGAACATAAGGGTCCATTGAATCCGGACTCTGGGTCCCATGACCACGTCATAATCTCTCTCTCTACTGATAGGTCTTTGCTGACTTGCTGTGTTTTGTGAACTAAGTTGTAATTCAAGAAAAAGTAGGGAATGGGAATTATAAACTTCTACTTTTAAGTATCGTCTTTTCAGTTTTACACTCTTACTGCATTATAAAAACTCGTTTATAACTCCCCTTCCATTTTGTCATTCGCTCGATCGTACATCCATTTACACTCGCATACGAAGCTTTAATATTTCTGCTTTCCCACTCTCCTTCCAGTTCCAGTTTTTGATTAACTCATTCTTCATTTGTGCCTTCATCCACTAATCTGCTTCAAGATGTCACTCATAAACTTGAATGCTCATATTCAAGAGTATTACATGGCTTCTGCAATTGGGGGATGAAGAAGGAGATGATGCATTAGCGACGTACGATATGTGGTGGAATGTCCCAGAATCACAGCAAGAACTTCTTCGTGAAGATTTACTACTTACTATGCGACCTCCTTCGTTCAAGGGCCGTATCTGCCATGTTTTCCGCGCTTCTCTGAGGAGGCGAAGGAGCTCCTGGCACCAAACATTTCTTCCTTTGGTTGAGAGGTGGCCATTACTGTTTTTAATGGAGCCCCCATGCCTGTTGCTTCTGTCCACATATTGCATACTCTTAGTGAACGGTACGACGAAAATGCTGCCATACCGGGGTGGAGCCATTTATATTGATGGATTCCTTGGCCCTTTAACTTTTTGTTAAATCAAATATTTATATATAGTTTGTAAGTAGAGGTAAGGTAAAAAATGTAATAAAGTGAATCCTTGGCCCTTCAAAACTGGAATTAAAATGTTAAAAGGATCATTTTCTAATTCTCCTGCAAGCAATTCTTAAAATTAAAAACTTATTTTATTTTATTTTTTCTTCAAAAAAATCTACATTAGACCCAAACCTTCCCACCCCATTTTCCTATACAGCCTACCTCTTCTACTCTCAAGTCTCACTTAATTTTCTTGTTTAATTTGCCCCTCCCCTGCAGTTTCGATGGAATCAATAGATGCCAGCAACATGGCCAATAGCGGTGGGTTTGAAGCTGTCCCTGCATCCGTGTCAGCCATTGAAGCGTTGGAAATGGTGAGATTCGACGTCAACGGTGTGGATTCTGTTGGATTTTAATCTCATGAGAGATTAAATCCAATGGGTTTGATTGATCAATTACATGAGAAATTGCACCTGTACACTTGATTAAAAAAATCAGTTTTTCTCTTATAAAACCCAGTTTTGAACTTATTCCACATTGGAAAATTATAAGTTTTGTTTTCAGTATTTCAATAAGAGCTGATTTACACTCCTTAGAATTAGTAGATGAGAGTGGAGATTCGATACCACGCAACGCGCGCGCACGCGTGTGCGCGTGTGTGTGCGGCGCAATGAGGCGCTTTAGAGGCGCACTTTGCTCGCGATGGGCGGCTCTGGTTTTGGTGCGCTGATAACCGTTGATCACCGTTGATGAGATCAATGGTCACGATTCGATCGGGTGTAATCAAGAGGCACAATTCAAAGTTAACAGTCACCAACTGTTAACTACTTTTTAAACAGTCACAATGTTTGAAATTGTGATTGTTCAAGGTGCCTTCTCTAAACCAGCACCTACCTTTTCTTCATACCTCTTCACAAATTATTTAAGGAGCATGAATCAGACTCCAAAACACAATTTCGAAATTCACTCTCTCTCTCTTTCTCTCAGTCCGATCTGCTACAGTCTTACAGAAGGTTTCTTTGGAGACTCTTCAACTTTGCTAGTTACAGATTCTTGCCCAAGGCTCTGTTATATCCTGGGAACGAATTTGCCTGTAACCCAACAGCAAACTCACTAAAACTGAGTGGGGGCAAATAATGTTCTAAAGATAATGTCTTCAGACGCGTCTCAAAGCTTCTCCTCCAAAGTTACAGTGACTCCATCTTCTCCAACAATTTTAGAACGTTATACTGCAATGGAGGCAGAAGCAAGCATGACTTCAATCAAGATGATGAACCAAGATCTTGTTCGACTAGACCAGTTCGATGGAGCAAATTTCAGCCGATGGCAAGACAAGATGATCTTCTTTCTGACCACACTAAAGCTATACTATCTGTTGGACCCGAATCTGCAATCACTTCTTGAACCCACTGACAAAGACTCAGAGAAACTAAAGAAGGAAAGAGCAAAACGAGAAGATGACTAACTTCTGTGCCGAGGACACATACTGAATGCTTTATCAGACCGGCTCTACAACTTCTACAAGGAACTTACATCTCCAAAAGAAATCTAGAAGGCCCTGAAATTCAAATACAAGGTGCAAGAAGCAGGTACGAATAAGTATCTTATTGCAGAATACTTTGACTTCACCATGAACGACCATAAACCCATACTAGAGCAAGTTCATGAATTACAAGTGATAGTCAACAAAATTCAATCCCTTAACATCATATTTCCTGAATCTTTCCAAGTGGGAGCAATCATTGCCAAACTTCCACCCTCTCAGAAGGATTACAGGAAGAAGATTCTGCACAAGGCTGAAGAACTTACCTTGGAGCAAATTCAGCAACACCTTCGTATTGAAGAAGAGTCTCGAATTAGAAACAGTAGGGATAAAATCCTGACCGGTATGCTGAACTCTAAGGTCAATTTTGTGGAAAACAGATCGAAGAAGACTAACCCTGCATTGCAAGTAAAGAAGAAGGATGAGAACTTCAAGAAGAGTAACAATAAGAAAGGATCCTGCTATGTTTGTGGAAAGAAGGGGCATTATGCCTAAGTCTACCGACATCGGAAAGGCGGAACCAAGTCTACAAACATGGTAGAAGACAATCTCGTGGCCATGATTACTGAAGTCAACATGGCAGAATCATCTTCTGGATGGTGGTTTGATTCAAGCGCCACAGTCCATGTTTGCAAGGACAAGTCCTTATTCAAGACATATGAAGAAGTGACTGATGGCCAGGAGGTACAGATGGGAAACCAAACATGTGCCAAAGTTGCTGGAAGGGGCAGCGTAGAGTTGAATTTCACCTCCGAAAAGACACTAACTCTCTTGAATGTTCTCCATGTTCTTGACATTAGAAAGAACTTGGTCTCAGTAAATCTTGTTTATAAGAGGGGATTCAAAGTTGTCTTTGAATCCGACAAACTAATCCTATCCAAGAATGGGATGTTTGTTGGAAAGGGATATGGTTGTAATGGTATGTTCAAATTAAGTATTAATGAAGGAAAAGTTTCTGCTTATATTGTTGATTCTTTCTCTTTACGGCATGATAGATTAGCACACTTGAATTTTAAATCCATAAAGAACATAAGCAAACTAAGTATAATTGCTTACAACAATGAATCAATTGAAAAATGTGAAATATGTGTAAAATCTAAAATGGCTAAGAAACATTTCCCTAGTGTTGAGAGAAATTCTCAACTTCTAGAACTAATCCATTCCGACATCTGTGAACTCAATGTTGTATTAACTAGAGGAGGTAAGAGATACTTCATAACATTTATAGATGACTTTTCTAGGTACAYCTATGTCTACCTTATGAGAACTAAGGATGAAGCCTTTGACATGTTTAAACTATATATGACTGAAGTTGAAAATCAACTAGAAAAGAAAATTAAAATCCTTAGAAGTGATAGGGATGTTGAATACTTTAAAAATGAGTTTAATTCTTTCTGTGAAGAATTTGGAATAATACATCAGTGTTCTGCTCCCTATACCCCTCAACAGAATGGCTTGACTGAAAG